CAGGCGGAGCGCGGCCCTGCGGCGGGCCGGGCCCATGGCGCTCGGCCGGCCCCGCCACCCGGCCCCGCCGCTGCCACACACCCACCCACCCCCCCCGGAAACACGGCCCGGCCCCGCCGTTCCGTTCCGCCCCGCTCCCTTCCGCCCGGGGAGGGCGGGCCGGGGGCGGGCCTGGGGCCGGCGGGGACACACCCCACACCCCCCGCCTGCACCGGAACCCTCCGGGACAGCCCCTCCGGAGAGCACACCGCCCATCCCTCCCCCAGATTCCTCTGGGACGCCTCCACGGGCAACCCAGCAGCGAGCTCGGACCCACGCGGGGGCAACAACACCCCCCAGCCCAGCCCAAACACCTCCACTCCCCCCCCCCACCGGGCTTCCTGCCCCCCCCCCCCTTTCCCACTCCAGACACAGAACCACAACTGGTGTCAGTCCTTTAATGCCCCACTCACAGCCCCCTCACATTCACATCCGCCGCTGCTTGCCCCCCCTGCCACAGGCAGCACGACAGGTCCTGTGGGGCAGGGAGGGGGGCACTGGAAAAAAAAAGGGAGGGACCTCCAGGCTCCCCCCCCACCCCATGGTTCCAGAGGCGCCCGTGGGCATCACCCCACTCAGTCCAACCCACCCACGGGCAAGGCAGGGGTTACAGCCAAACCGACAGATAAGAAAATACTTCTGATATTCCTCAGAAACAGCTTTTAGAAACCACAGTTTTTACAGCTCCCCGTAGAAAAGATGGGGTTTGGGCACAAGCCAGGGCCCAGGTCTTCAGCTAGTAGAAACGCTTGTTCCGCTCCTGGCGCTTCTGGAAGACCACAGCTCCCACCACCGCGCAGATGATGATGCCCAGCAGCGCGCAGAGCAGGAGCAGGAACACCTTCCAGCCTGTCAGGGGTCCGCTGCGGAAATTCCCCGTCAGGTCATCCACATTGTCTGCAAGGGTAAGAACAGCTATAGTGACCAACCCAGCTTCAGCTCCTGCACAGTCTCGCAAGGTGTCACAGCTCTGACACCTTTCTACATGTCTTTGAGTCCAGCCTCGGAATCCCAATCCTCCACTGAAGGTTTCTGAAGCCTGGAGACTCACCTTTGGGTGATTTAAGGAGGCTGACGCTAGGCTCGATCTTGGTCCAGTCAACAGTCTCATCTTCTAAAGGGTGATCCACCATGAGCTGGAACAGCTTCATCGAGATAATGTCATGATTGTCTAGGAAACAACCATCAGCACCAAACGCTGTCAGAAACTCTGAGAAATGTCCATGTGCTCAGAGCACCCCTAAGACTGTGGTCTGCCAGGTCCAGGTCTCCTTCTCTCTCAAGCCACCCTCACACCCCAGACATCAAACTCCAAATTGAGATGTTCCTTAGCTCTTAAGATGCCTCCTTTCCCAGGCCACAGGTCCTTACCCAACAGGGTTTCAAAACTTTAACAATTCAGGGAAAATAAGCTATCAAAGCTATCCAATGTATCTATAGCATTACATTCCAGGCTCCAAACAGCAGGTATTCCTGCAAGCAAAGCCCCCTCTCACCAGACAAATCTCCAGTGCCAGCAGAAGCACCAAAGAAGTAGCCGGTTGGCAGCTGCACCCCTGCAATGTCAATGCAGTTCTTCCATTCGTTCTTGTCTTCCACATCGGTCATCACCTGCAAGACCAGGGGAGCATCACACCAGGAACGCACGCTGCTCTCCTGCCTGCCTGCAGCTCTTTTGGAGCTGGAGGTGCAGAAGCAGGCAGTGAAGTCTGGAAAACCATCCCCAGGTCACCCTCTGACACTGCAACACCCGCCCCTCAGCGCTGCCTCGTCTAACGCTCCTGAGACGCCCCGCAGAAGGTGCCCACCACATCTCACCGTCAGACGACCTTGGGAGTACCGAATGGCCAGGAAAGTGTCGTGGTTCTGGTTCCGAATGTCGGCGCGGCACCCTGCCAGCTCCGTCTGGCGCCCGTCCTTACTGTGGTCATACGTCAGGGAGCCGTTGTTCACCATCGCGGAGATATAGGGGAACACGCGCTGCAGGGAGGAGAGTGCTGCTGCTTTTAGTCTGCAAGAGCTGCAGACCAAGAGCCACCTTCCCCTGCCTGGCCAGAAACCTCAGTGAAGAGCAGGATCTCAGCCGAGCACAGCAACAGAGCCACAGCTCTGCTGCACAGTTGGGTATGGAGGGCAGAACAATGAAATCAAGGCTCATTTTTTACACAAAGCTGCTTCTAAACTGAGTGAGAGCTTGTTCTGGCCAAAGCAGAGTAGCAATTTCTGACCTTCTGTATCAAGGCTCCCCCAGAGCCCACCCCGTTCCGTGTAGCCAGGGTGATAAGACCGCCCCAAACTTGCAGAGTAAGCACCAGATCAGGTAAGAAGTGTAAGAACACAGCCCAAGACCCAGAACAGGCAGGAATCTCACATAAGCAGCATAAGCACAATCCGGGCTTTGTCTTCAGTAGATTATGTACACCAGGAAAAGCCAATTGGAGGCAAGAATTCACCTCCCAGTGAACATCAAAACAGGGAGATGGGTCATTTCCAGGTGCTTTATGACTTAAGTATCATGTTTTTGATACAACAGATCTCACTAGCACATTTTCTGACTGTGCCATAAGAAGATCCACAAACAGAGCAGGACAGAAGAAAAGAACCACCAGCCCTGACAGGGCTGATTTGTATTTCAGCCACTGTGAATTCTGGAGCAAAAAGCCAGCCCAGGAGTTTCTCTTTTGGAGACAGGCAGGTTGCAAACAGAGAGTAAAGCCAGAAACAAGGTGGAATGCGCAATCAGAGCCCAGCAAAGTTCAGGAAATGATACTTGGGATGAATATACCCTTAGACTGATTCCTCTAACTTTACTCAATAGGTGGTGCATAGTTTACATCAGCCCTGTGCCACCCTCTCATGCAGAGGGTGAGAGGCCTGGAAAATATCTGTGTAGTCAATGACAGCAGAAGATAAAGCAAAGACCTTCTTATCTCTATTAACGCATGTATAAACTCTTCCCTTTACCAGCTCCCATGATGGAAAGAGCAGCCTGCTCTCACATAAGGAGAGCCTTTTCCTTGGTCCGGGCGTAAAGCACTCAGAACACAAAATCATGAGGAAACAGCCTCCTTGGCACTGAGCAAGCTCCCTGAGCTACTCACCTCTGTTGCCTCATCGTTGGGATATGTATCAAGGAAAATAGCCAGTCCATGAAAATTGTCCTTGCTGCCAAAGACAGGACCTGGAACAGGGCAGAACATTGGAAACAGAAGGCTTTCAGATGTGCGCTCGGAGACTTGTACTGAAAAGAGCTGTAAGAGCCGTTCATCGTCAGACTGGAGGTGACTGTTCCCCAGGCAGAAGGCATGGGACACACCACCCTGATCTCATGAAGCCAGACAGAGGGGAGCTCAGACGCCCTCCCTGGCAAGGCACCTTCCAGGACAGGGGCAGCTCCCTGGGCTCCTGCCGAGGAGGCCTCAGCCCGGACAGGCTGCGCACCATACCTGGCACCAGCCGCTCCTGCGTGTACCACAGCGCCAGGCCGTCCCCATGCAGGTTCTTCTTGCCAGCTCCGTGGATCTTGAAGTGGACGTGGAGTTCCCAGTCCTTGAGGAAGCAGGGCTGTGTGGAGAGACCACCCAACGGTGTCAGGGCAAGAGCCGGGAGGGGCGTTGGGGCCGCCTCGGGCCCCCGCTGGGTCTCCCCCCGCCCCCCGGGCTCTCACCACGCGGTTCCAGATGGAGCCCTCCCGGCTGCGCTCGTCGGGCGTCAGGCGGACGTACTGGCTAGTGACCATGGTGCTGCCCTGGAAGTCCCACAGCGGCATCGCGGCGGAGCCCGCGCCTGCACCGGGCGGAGAGAGAGAGCGGAGCCAGCGAAAGCGGCTCAGCCTGGGCCGCCGCAAGGCGCCCGGCCCCGCCGCCCGGCCCCGCGCTCACCCTGATACGGCTTCATCAGCGAGTGCTCCCGCTTCAGGTGCTCGCTGTTGCCGTCTGTGAGCTCGGCGGGCGCCGGGCGCGGCCCGGCCGCCACCGCCAGCAGCGCGGCCGCCGCCAGCAGCCCGCCCGCACCCGCCGCCATCCTGCGCTTCCGCCTTCCGGCGCGCCGCTCCCGCCCCCCCAGCTCCGCCCAGGAGCGGCGGCCCGCGCCGCCAGTCAGAAGCCCCCGCGCCACCACGTTCCCGCCCCCCCGCGGGCGAGCGGCTCCCCTGCTCGCCTATGGCAGAGGAGGGAGCGGGACCCGGGCGGCGGAAGGGGATGGAGCGGCGGGGCGCCTTCTCGGCGCGCACTCCGCAGGCGCGGCGGCGAGCAGCATGCCGGGACCTGTAGTCCGCTCGCCCCCCCCTCCGCTCCCTCCGGCCGGTCACGTGCACGCCCACGTGCCGCCCACGGGACCACGTGAGCCAGCCCCGGCGGCCCGTCGCCATGGCAACGCCTCGTAAGATGGCGCCAGGCGTCAGGAACGGGGCTCGGCCGCGGAGCCGCGGGGCGGGGGCCGGCGGCACTGTCCCAGCCCCGGGGGACCGACCGCCCAAGGCAGCGTGGGGCTCACAGGCGGCTTTATTGAGGGCCGCAGCCCAGGGCCTAGTGCAGCAGGAGGCTCCCGGCCCCTCTGCAGCTCCGCTTCCGTCCATCCCCGGAACCGCGGGCGCTCACCACCGCGGCTGCGGTGGCCGGGGAGCTGCATCCTCCAGCCCTCAGGATGGGCGACTGCAGCGGGATGACAGAAGCCCCGGCTCAGGGGTGTTTAGGGCAACGCGCTTCCCAGGGGCTCTGGCAGAGCCACCCCTCTCGGTGGCACGGGCAGCGTGGCTGCAACCAAGGCCGTCACCGGGGAACGAAACCCCTCCATCAGTGACTGCCCCGGCAGGTCCTCTCTGTGTCTTTGTGCTTGTCTGGGTCCTGCGCACACGTGGGAGCTCCTCTGTCCAGTGAAAGATACTGAAGATAGGCTTTCCCCAGCCAGCTGCCGTGCACCAGTCACATCCTACGGGAACGGAGGGGAATACACACCACTCGGCTGGCGGTACGTGCTGTGTCTGAGGGGGTAGCCAGGGACATGGTAGGGTGCCCAGCGTGCCCTGGGCAGTGCGTGGATTGCAGCAGCGTCTGCAGGGTGTGCCAGCAGTGTGGATGGAAAGCAGGTTCTTGTTCTGGAGGTGTGCAAGCCCTTGACACAGTGGGACATGGGCTTCTCTCCAACAGCACAGGGCCTGCAGGAGGGTCAGGGCGTGTGAGGAGCCCGTGGAAACCCAGGAAGCAGGGAGAGGGGAAGTGACTGATTAGTGAAAAATTGGGTAGGAAGCCCATCTGAGCATGGCAGCCTGAGGCTCAGGGCCCAGATGAGCCTTTGTGGGGAGTCTAGGGACTAGGGGTTATTGGCCATGGCTTAGGGACCTGCAGCTCTGTCCCATCTGGCACTTTGCAGTTTTTACTTCTTCCTGTTCATAATCTGGCTGGAAATCCAGTTCATCCCATCCTGGAGGGAAGAGAGATATGTGAGCACAAACCCAAGAGCATGTCAGGTCCTTGAGTCCTCTCCCACCTCTGCAGAGCCTGCAGGCCCCCATCTCTACCTGCACTCCTTCCCCAGACAAGGCTGAGCAGGCCTGGATCTGCCATTCCCGGTCCCGGTAGGTGTGGAGGCCCAGCCCTTCCGCGATTTCAGCTGCGGGTGCTGCAGTCACTAGGTCCTGCTTGTTGGCAAACACCAACAGCGGGACCCCCGTGAGGGACTCCTCCTCAGTGAGCTCTGCCAGCTCCTGCCAAGAGACAACCATCTCCCAGGGCAGCTGCCTGCTGCTGCCCTCCTCCACAGAGCTGCCCAGCTGCTTGCCTCAGCTACCCAGGGCAGGCTGGGGCACTTCGGTCCCCCAAAGTGTTTCACTCCCCTCTCTCTGGTGTACTTATTGCAGCCAAAGAAGCTGTGAGGTTTCGACATGCACCAAGAGAGAGACATGCACCCATGAAGCTCCATTTGTCTTGAAGAGAGCCCGGGAGCCACACGCAGTACTACCTGAGCGCTGAAGCACCCCCAGCACCAAAAGCCTTGGGCAAAGGGCAGCTACAGGAGGCTGCTGTCAGCCCCGTGCTGTCTGGCACACCCACGCCGCCGTCTGGTGCCAGTATAGCCGAGACTGGCACTCAGAATCTCACCTTCCCCTCTCCAGCTTCATTTCTAGGGTTTGTAACTCTGAATTTGCTACTCGTAAACCTTTGTTTGGTCATATCGCTAACCTGGCGCTGGGGAGGTGGGAGGAGGGCTGGTGATTGAGGGGTCACTCTCATACGGGGCAGAGTCAACCCCATGTCGGGTACCCCTGGGGCATCACACCCAGCTTGGGGGGAGCTGCTGGGCACGGATCTGCCATGGAGAGGGGTGGCTCTGCATGCTGAGACTGATCATGAGCCCTTCCCACTTAGCTCTGGGGACAGCTTGGCCCCCACAGCAGCGCTGCTGCATGGCAGAGAGAAGCCTTACTCCCCACTCCAGTCCTCAAAGAGCTGGTGCCAAATGGATCCAAGCCCCAGGACCGCACAACCATTCCCCACCCAGACCCCTCATACCTGCCCTGTCTCCTCAAAACGCTTCTGGTCTGCACTGTCAATGACATAAATCTGCCGTGAGGACAAAAGGGACAGTCAGCGGCTTCTCTTCAGCTGCACAGCCCTCTGCCTTCTGCAGGGGCTGCACGCCTCTGCTGGGGTACAGAGCCCTGCACAGAGGGCACAGCTCTCCACACACAGGGCTGGGAGGGGGCTGGGGGCAGCTGCCCCACTCACCAGCAGGTCCGTGCTGTCCAGATACTTCCTCCAGTACGGGCGGATAGAGCGCTGCCCCCCAATATCCCAAACATTTAGCTTGAAGCCATGTGAGTGGATGCTCTTTATGTTGAAGCCCTGTGTGGGGACACAAACCCCAGCATCACCCAAGGGGAGGGTAAAACCTGCCGCCCTCCCGTTGCCTGTGGCCCCCAGCAGCACCTACCTGGGTGGGGGTGATGGTGCTGGCCTCCTCAGATGCCAGGCATTTCAGCAGCGTGGTCTTCCCTGCGTTGTCCAGCCCCAGCAGGACAACGTGGAGCTCCTGCTCCAGGGAACCCTTCAGCCTCTGGATGACGGAGAGCAGCCCCTGGGAGTGTGGGGTGCTGGGGGAGCCCTGTGGGGTGCCAGGTTGCTGCAGAGCACCCGCATTTCAGAGGGTAGAGCTGGGTGCCCTATTGGCCATGGGGACCCTGTGTCTATGGCCTGAGTGAGCTCCAGGGCTTGGCTCCCAAGGTATCCAGGCTCAGGGTAGCCCCACAGCAGATCCAGCCCCATTCTCCCCCCTGGGTGTGCTATCCCTGCCCTGGGACCCCTGCCAGCTCCTGAGTGTGCTGGGGACACATGCTCAAGCTAAAGTCCTGGTCCTGCTCTTCCAGCCCGCCCAGCACTGCAACTGGGAGCTGCTGCCAGCACACCCACCCTGATGCAGGTGGGATATCACTGGACCCCGCTTACCTTCTGCACATCACCCATGGTCAGGGAGTTGCACTAGCCGACGGCACGCCTGGGGAGCTGCCAGGGGCTCATCCCCAGGGCTCGCTGGCAGCTGCGTGACTAGCACGCACCCCATCCCCGGGGGAGGAAGAGGATTATGGGCTCCAGAATTAGCTGCTGTTTCTCCTTTTACCCGCAGCATTAAATAATGCCCTCCACAAATCCCCCAGCCAGCTGTCACCCCACCGTCACCTACCCCTAGGATAAACCAGGACCCGTCAGGCTGGGGCACTGGGACACAGGGTGTCCCTCTCCCCACAGGGCCAGGCTCTGGCTTGGGGATGGCAGCACAGCGGGAGGATGCGGCACCCAGTGCAGAGCGTGGTGATGGGATGGAGCCGTGTGATCCCGGGAGAGGCACTGCAGGCCCAGCCTCTGAATGGGGACACTGCCTGCTGCCCAGGCAGCAGACACAGGCCACAGGCACGGCCGTGTCCTGGTGCACAGGGCTGACACAGCCTCCTGTGTGAGGGGTGATGCCTCAGCACTTCCCCACGTCCCACCCTGCCCAACCAGGGTGAGGCGACACCAGCACCCACGACCTGCCCCCTCAGAGGGTGACAGAGCGGAGGCTGGAGCTTCTCAAGGCCACGTCAGCCACTGCCACAGCTCCCTGCTGCTGTCCAGTGGAAACCACTGGGCCCTGGAGCAGGTTGAGGGCTGGGCTGTCAGCAGCTGGAGGTCGGGGATGGCACAGGACAGGGGTCTGGAAGGGCACAGGCACCTTCCCCAGCAGCCCACCCCAGCCCAGGTTGGGTGTGGGGCTCATGAGTTTGTCATTTGTATTAAATATATTAATTAAGCAATGTCTTTGATTCTTGCATGCTGCAGTTCAGTCCTCGGATCAGGTTTCCTAGCAAAGAGGTTATCCTTGTGGTGAGGACCGTGAGTCACGCACTCTTGGTGAGACATTTTTATTTATAACTCCTGTTGCAAAGCCAAGCCAAACAACACAGCTACACTCTGACAAAGGGAAGGGGAGAAGCATGATTGTCCCCCACCCCACTGCTGCTCCGTGCTGCAGCGGGGGGCAGAGGGGCAGCAGCGGGGGCCACCTTCCACTACCCCCTGCCCAGAGACCCTGCCAGGGCTGCAGCTGCTAATACCGTGCTGCTTTTGTGCATGTTCCTGGTGGGAACACTTCATTTTTCTCTGCATAAATCTGCACCCAACTTAATGTTAGGGTTCTGCTTTTGATAGGTTAATCACCCACCTTACGTCCCAGTTATTAGCATTTCCATGAGGGGGTTGCCATGGTGCTCTGCGGTTTATCCTGTAACTGTTAGTTACTTATATTTCTTAACAAATATCCTAAAATATCCTCAACTGGTTTGTGGTTGCTGATCAACATGGAACCCCGACCTTAGGAGATGGGCAAAACTGCTTAGGCATCAGTTTGGTGACTCCGAGCTGCACGTCCACCACTCCTCTCTGCCAGGCTGTGCCGGCGTTCACGGCGCAGGCAGCTCTCCCCAAACGCCGGCCGCTAATGGCAGCAGCAGCACGGCCCCGGGGGCCACCCCCAGACCCATTAGCAGCAGCACGGCCCCGGGGGCCACCCCCAGACCCATTAGCAGCAGCACGGCCCCGGGGGCCACCCCCAGACCCACCGCTTGGCGTGGGGCTGGGAGGCAGCTGCATGCCCAGACGGGTGCAACTGGGGCAAGCAGCACCACGCTGGTGGCAGGGTGTGCTGGGTGTGTGGATGCCCCCCTGCCCCTGCACCCCCCCTTCCCTGGGGCGATGTGGTGCCCGGGAGGAGAGCCCCGGGCTGGCCGGGCTGCTGGGAGCGGTGGCGATGGGGTGGTGACCCCCAGGCAGCACCGGCTGTGCTGGTGATGGGGACTAAGTGGGATAGGGATGGGAACAGGGGTGAAGATAGATCATGGATGTGAATGCGGATGGAAACAGGGATGGGGATCGGGATGGGGGATGTAGATTTGGATGGGCAAAGGGATGAAGATAGATCACGGCTGTGGGTGCAGATGGAGGCAGGGATGGATCGGGATGGGGATGTAGATTTGGATGGGCAAAGGGATGAAGATAGATCACGGCTGTGGGTGCAGATGGAGGCAGGGATGGATCGGGATGGGGATGTAGATTTGGATGGAAACAGGGATGAGGACAGATCGCGGCTGTGGGTGCAGAGGGAAGCGGGGATGGGGTCGCGGCGCCTGCCGGCCCGGAGCTGGAGCCGGTGCCCGCCGGGGCGGTGCCGGGGCCGGTGGCGGCGGAGCGGGGCGGGAGGGCGGCTCCGCTCCCCCCGCTGCGGTCTCGGTTCCCATGGCGACACTTCCTGTGGCAGCCGAAAGCGGTAGTGCCGGGGAGCGCCGGGCCGGGCCGGGCCGGGCCGGGGGAGCCGCGCCGCGCCGCGCCGCCGGCCGGGGATGCTGCGGGGCCGCGGGCCGCGCCGGTAGCGCGCTGGGCCGGGCGGTGCCAGGCATGCAGGGCAAGGCCAAGCTGCTGCTGGTCCACAACGGCCGCATGGTGAGTCCCGGACCGGGCCCGGGCGCCGGTCCCCATCCCCCGGGGCTGCCCTGCCCGGCGGCGTGGCGGGGGGCTGGGTACCGGGCAGGCAGAGGGGTGTTGGAGCGGTTAACGGGCAGGCAGAGGGATGTATGGGACCAGGGACTGGGCAGGCAGGAGGGTGTGAGGCAGATAACGGGCGGGCAGGGGGGTGTGGGGCTGGGTACCGGGCAGGCAGAGGGATGTAGGGGGCCAGGTAACGGGCTGGCAGAGGGGTGTGGAGAGGATAAAGGGCAGGCGGGGGGTGTGGGGCTGGGTACTGGGCAGGCAGGGCACTGTGCAGCTGGGTACTGGGCAGGCAGAGGGGTTGGGGGTGGATAATGGGCAGACAAGAGGTGTGGGGCTGGATACTGGGCAGGCAGGGCAGTATGGGCCTTGGGTATCCAAAGCAGGCAGAGACGTAGAAGGGTATTAGGGCAGGCAGCAGTATATGGAGCTGGGTAGCAGGCAGGCAGGGACATATGGGGCTGGAGTAATGAGCAGGCAGGAGTTTATGAGGCTGAGACAGTGATTAAGTGGGGATGTATGGCACTGGGGTAGTGGGCAAGCAGTGACGTATAGGGATGGGGTAGCAGGAGTCAGCAGTGCAGATGTGTGTGGGACTGGGTGGGACAGGCAGGGCAGAGCTGTGTGGGTGTGGGCAGCAGGGATGGATGGGGAAAAACAAGGAGCTGGCAAGATAAGGGTATGTGGGGCTGGAGTAATGGGCAGGCAGGGCTGGGATGTGTGGGGCTAGAGTGAGGGGCACGGCAGCAGCATGTGGGGTGGGGTAGCAGGGACAGGCAGGGGTGGGATAGTGGGGCTGGGGTGCGTGGGGTTGGAATGGGGACAGGCAGAGGGTGTGCAGGGCAGGTTGAAGTGTGTGGGGCTGGGAGGGTGGGGGGCACTGGCCAGCCAGGTCAAGGGCACCACTTCAATGCTGTGTGGGGTGTGCTTGGCTGGGCTTTGACTGCAAAGGCTCTGCCCATCTCCCTGCTTGCTGTGGGTCCTGGGGTACCACATCCCCATGGCTGGTATGTGAAGCGGCCCAGGAGGTGCTGCAGGGCACCTTGTCCTGCTGTGCCTTGGGCTGGCAGCACCCAGTCCCCATTTTGGGGCATCTGCCCCCCAATAGCCCCAGGCCCCAAGGAGGGAGGGAGCAGTCAGTCTGCTTGCCTAGGGCTGTGGTTGTCTTTCCTTCCCTCCCCTCCTCCCCTCCTCTTCCTGTGCTGGGGAGGCTGCTTCTCTCCTCCCAGGGCAGTGGTAGCAGGGTTACATCTGATAACATCTGCCCTTTCCCAATTGCTGGCCTGGCCCCAGGGCAGTAGATGCACAGAAGGTGGAAGAATAGTTGTGTGCCCCTTGCAGCCCCCCACCCATACTCACTGCCTCTGGGTTAGGAGCCCCATGTTCTGCCTCTGCCATGGGGCAGCCGTCCTGGTTGCAGCTAATGCCAGAGCTGTGCTTGCTGGCAGCCCGTGTCCCTTGCTCCTGGGTTTGGACTGGGCTTGCCCTGACACTGTCGCCTGCCCAGGTACCGCTCCACCGGGCTGGCAGACGCCGTGTGGCCTCTCTCACCTCTCTTCTCTCCACCCCCACAGGGCCCAGCTGTGTCAGATGGAGGTAAGACTGCTCTTTGTTCTGGGATGGGACAGGAGGCCAGCATCATCTTCAGGGGAGGGGGAGGCCCACAGCCATCCTGGTGCCAGGGGCAAGGAGCCAGCAGAGCGCCAGGTCCTGTGTCAGCACAGGCTGTGCCGTGGGCGGGTGCATGGCCGGGCCCCCGCAGTGATCCCTCTGCCAGGGACTCACCATACCCCCCCATCCCTCCCACACAGCCCTGTTGTGTCTGTCCCTCCCATCTGGCTGCTCAGCTGGCACCCTTGGGTGCTGGGGGCTGAGGGGCTTCCTGGGGCAAGCAGAACCTGGGTACCAGCCAGCCCCTGATTCCCTGAGGGGGTCTGTCTCTCTGTCCATCTGTCTCATTGTGCATTGGATATCTCAGATGGCCCATTCGCCTGTCTTGGGCCCACTGGAGGATCCTTCCAGTGCGAGATGCTGGTAGCTGATGTTCCCACCTGCACAGTTATGCCGTGTTTCGGACAGGAGAAGGGTGGGGAGCCCGGCAAAGCACCAGCCTGCCACCTCCTCTGCTCCCACTGGCCAGCCCTGCTTCCATACCCTTACCTTCCCTTGCAAATGACCCTCTGCTCCCAGGCACTCACCTGCCAAACCAGTTAAAGAGCTGGGGTTGCCCCTGGGAACATCTGTCTTTTTGAAGTGGGGGGCTCCATTTGAATGCATAGTCACCTTGGGTTTCCCCAGGGGAGGGTTTCCTCGGGGTTTGGAGCTGGGGATGACACTTTCTGTGCCCTCCTCTTTCTGAGTTTTTTTCTTTGTCACGGCTGGAGGAATGGAGAAGGTAAGGTCAGGCACCTATACCCATCCTCTGAGTATCCCTCATGCCTTGCTGCGTGCCCCCCATAACCCCTCCCCAGCTGGATGCCTTTTCCATGCATTGGCTTTGTTCCCCTGGGAGATGAGTCACGGCGACACCCGGGGGAGGATGGCCAGCACTGACAGGGAGAGTTATGCCAGCAGGTGCCAGCTGTGACATTACAGCGCTCAATCCACCAAGGATGCTTCTGTGATGCTCCTCGCGTTCCCTACCTGAGGGGAATGGGTAGGGTCCAATTGAGATGGGATGGATGAACTCGCTGCAGATCCAGAGGGGTGCTGGCAATGGGGACTGACACTGGGGGACACACGGGAAGCCAGAACTGACCCTTATTCTCTCTCAGAGTTAAATGCCTCCAGAGCCCGTGGCAGCAACCACAGCGTAAACAGCTTGCCGGGACCACCGGCCACCTGCGGCCCCGCACAGGGATCTGTGGTCAGCTGGGCTGAATCCTTCGAGACGCTGCTGCAGGACCGTGTGGCTGTCACCTACTTCACTGTGAGTACCACAGCCCAGACCTCGGTCCCTGCTCCCGCCTGCCGTTGGCAACCGGCTGTCCCACAGCCGCAGTGCCGGCCGGGCCATCAGCTCTCTCTGCCCCACAGGAATTCCTCAAGAAGGAGTTCAGCGCCGAAAACGTCTACTTCTGGCAGGCATGCGAGCGCTTCCAGAAGATCCCAGCCAGTGACACGCAGCAGGTACTGGCCTCTGCACAGCCACAGTGCGGCTGAGCCTGGGTCACACAGCTGCTGGGAGGGATGTGGGCAG